GTACACCTATGACTAACAAATATTAAAAGGCATTTAATTGATTACTGATTACAAAGGAATTACGAAGCCAATCCCGCTTTTAAGAACTACACTAGTCAACTCGTCAAAAAAAAGGCAACGTCTGCGACATCAGTTACCATCACTTCGGTGTGAGAACGCAGCTGAAGCCTATTCCATTCTGTACAAAAGACGACGTGAGTAATGTTCTCGCGTCACGCCAGTGTCAAGTGAGCATCAAGCACCATGCTTCTCACGAACCTATAAGCCATGAATAATCACACGCCGAAACATATTTTGATAGCCATCAAGTAGTCATTGTGGCATGGACTACTATAAAAGCATGATGAATCTGGAGAAAGCACCAGTGATTTCCAGCAAAACAGGAGAAAATGGCAGAGAAAATTCAACCTCTCGTAGTGGACAATGGGTCGGGTATGTGCAAGGCCGGTTTCGCCGGAGACGATTCTCCTCGCGCCGTCTTCCCCTCCATCGTCGGTCGACCCAGAAAACAGGGCATCATGGTTGGCATGGGCAACAAGGACAGCTACGTCGGTGATGAGGCACAGTCCAAGAGAGGCATCCTCACACTCAAGTACCCCATCGAACACGGCATTGTCAACAACTGGGACGACATGGAGGAGATCTGGCACCACATCTTCTACAACGAACTCCGTGTTGACCCCGAAGAACACCCCGTTCTCCTCACCGAAGTCCCTCTCAACCCCAAGGCTAACCGTGAGAAGATGACTCAGATTATGTTTGAGGCTTTCAACGTTCCCGCCATGTACGTCGCCATTGATGCGGTGCTCTCTCTCTACGCGTCTGGTCGTTCCACCGGTATCGTCCTCGACTCCGGTGATGGCATCAGTCACTCCGTCCCCATCTACGAGGGCTACGCTCTACCACACGCCGTTCAGCGTCTCAGCCTGGCAGGACGCTATCTCACCTCGTTTCTCATCAAACTCTACACCGAACGCGGCTACTCATTCACCACCACCGCCGAGACCGAAATTGTCCGCGACATCAAAGAGAAGCTCTGCTACGTGGCGCTTGACTTCGACAACGAAATGAACACCGCCGCGACCAGCTCGTCACTGGAGAAGACCTACGAACTGCCTGACGGTCAAGTCATCACCATTGGCAACGAGCGATTCCGCTGCCCCGAGGCTCTCTTCCAGCCCAATTTCCTCGGTCTCGAGTGCACTGGCATCCACGAGGCCACGTACAACTCCATCATGAGGTGCGATCTGGATATCAGGCAGGACCTCTACGCCAACATTGTCATGTCCGGCGGCTCCACCATGTTCCCTGGCATTGCTGAACGAATGGAGAAGGAGCTCACTAACTTGGCGCCCACCTCCATGCGCATCAAGATCATCGCGCCACCGGAGAGAAAGTACTCCGTGTGGATCGGTGGTTCCATCCTCGGCTCATTGTCCACCTTCCAGCCGATGTGGATCACCAAGCAGAAATACGACGAATTTGGCCCAAGCATTATCCACCAGAAACGCTTCTAATATCCTATTCTTTTGTTTCAATCTTAATTAAATTTTTTGCTCCCTCTATTTAGTCTTGTCAGTTATGTGTGGATGTGTCAAGCCGCCAAAAAAAATGATGGTATTTACGGTGTGCTGGTAGATTCACTATTTGGTTTTGGGTTGTGTCTATGCAACTACGGTTTATTTCGATATGTGCAAAAGTCAATAATCACTACGCCAAACTGAGCGCCATCTTGCACATCAAATGTTGTCAAAATCTCATCTTTGGGCAAATCTATTGATGAGTTTCATCTTCCAGGCATTTTTAACAACTCGGATGCAAACTTTACCATATTTTTGATATTAGACCGTGAGCATATTTGTGTCAAGCTCCGATCATGTCATTTTTTTACCATCTTCTCCTTTTTCTGGTTCTCCTGGATGCTAAGGAGGAAAGCGATGGTAAAGTGTCGACCTACCACAGCACCTCAGGTTATTGTTGTTAAGGCCACACGATTATTA